CAAAATTTCGACTTTTGTCTCGAAATTTCGACTTCAATCTCGTAATTTCAAAATTACGACTTTAAACTCGAAATTTCGACTTGAAACTCGAAATTTCGACTTCAATCTCGTAATTTCGAAATTACGACTTCAAATTCGAAATATCGAGTTTGAAGTCGAAATTTCGAGATTAAAGTCGAAATTTCGAGATAAAAGTCGAAATTTTGAGATAAAAGTCGTAATTTCCAAGAAACAAATGATAAAAATATGTGGCCCTTCTGCGCTTCCGTAACACTCCTCGAAATTCTCCATATTTTTATAGCAACAATCCAAACTGTTGAAGAAAGGACGCGTGAATATCTCGTGGTGTCTTCGTAGAGCAGTAACATCCAGGGTCGAGCATGCGCCGTGAAGAGGAAACGAGCAGGTGTGAGAGGACAGCCTAAAACAGGCACAGAAATTTTTTTACTCTTCGAGCGGAGACGGCAAGCCATGTGCCTGGCCCGTCCTGTTCCCGTCCTGGCATGTGCCAGTCCATTTCTTGCTTTAGTGCGCGCCCCCTATGAGAATCTAGAAAATGAAAAGAAACTTCACGTCGTGTTCCCATCCTGACATGTTCCCGGCCTCTTGCAGTGTGCGCATTGCATAAGATGGTTTGTATTGATAGTTAAGCCTTGAAAATTTTGAATTATTCATCTCCATTTCAGTAGTGGTACATGTAGGCAGTTGGGCAACTTTGTCGAATGTGTCAATTACATTTACCCGTCAATTGAATTCACCACTTTTAGAGTGGTGGTACACTTAACATTAATTTGATCACCCTTCTCCTTAGTTAAACTTAAAAAATTGTAGTAATATGTATATTTTGAAATTGTCTTCCNATAGTAATTTGTATATTTTGATATTTTATTCCTTTTTTTCAAGTACACAACACAAGAACTACAGAAAAATCCTTAAGACGCTCTCAGAGCGGTGCCTGTGCGAATGTATCGATTTATATTGGTTTTGAATCGCTGGAGATTAAATCCATTTGGAAAAACGTCCTCAGGAAGTTTATTCCACATACATGCAGTTCTCCAGATGAAAAAGTTCTTAAGCAGTGAAGTTCGAAGTGTACTGAGTTGAACCTCAAAACGATGAGCAGCCACAGTCCGTCGCGAATTTCTGATATGTACGGCTCTTGGTGGAATCAAATGTACCAAGTCACTTGAACACTTCTCGTGAAAGTATCTATAGAAGAGAAATAAATCTCCAACCTTACTTCGATGTTTCAGGCTATCAAGGTTGCACGTGATATTCGCGTCTCCAATCAAGCGGATGGCTCTTTTCTGGATGGAATCCAACTACTTCAGGGTATGTTTGTGGGCAGAGCTCCAAACATGAGAACAATACTCCAAAGAAGGTCTGATCTGAGCTTTATAAAGCATCTGAGGTGTGTACAGTTTTCTGGTACGGAACAGTGTTCCAAGTTTTTGAGAAGCAGCCTTTGCAATTCCAGCGACATGATTGTGCCAAGACATATTGGTGTCCATTTTAACCCCCAACAAACTTATCGAAGCAGAAAGCGGGATTGGTATTTCCTATATACCAGTACTTCGAAAGAAGTATATGCTCTGCAATTAGATGAAGACTCGCTTACATTGATATAGATGAAAGTAATGATTTTTCTCAGGTAATAATGTTAGTTCACTCAAAATTGTATTCATTGATACATGAAATGAATTAACATCTAGTAAATGACGATATTTGCAGAAGAAACGGAGTGTGATATTTTTATTAGCATTTTTCTCGAATACTTCAAATCAGCACATGTGTCACTGGATCACGATTTTTATAAATATGTAAACAAATGCGAGAAACACATGCACATTTGTAAGAACCCATAATAAGCAATGACAGTGATTTTGTTCCTGTCATAGTTTTTTTTTTTCATTTGGGAGCCAATTCTTCCAAGTCTTCGGGAAACACTGAGCCTCATGAACCCACCTTTTACATGCTGTGGAGGGCCATATTGATCTATATCGAATGCAAAATATATTCAATGTACTCAATTGGATAAGAATTAATGCTGGGGTTGTGGGTTATCCCTAAGAGATAGACATATACCGTTACGGACTTTTTGTAGACCTTAAGGTGTATGATACTGTAGTATATTTTTGATCTATCCCGTAGGGTTCTGCCAGCGTTTGCAATGTGAACGTGAAAAAATGTGTTTTAATTACATCATATTAAAAACTTCTGAAATCATCAGTGTAGTTTCAAAGATCTAAGCATACATAGGGACAGACAGCGGGAAGCGACTTTGTTATACTATATAGTGATAAACTGTTGGATGAAGCCGTTACTAAGTGGTACAAAATCATCACGAAATATGAGGATTAAAATTGGAAGGGTATATTTTGAGGAGAAATTAATATTTAGGAAATAAAGGTTTTGTGATGGCAGTCTTGATGGCAGTCTTAGACCCAAGAGTGTCTCGATGACGCTATTGGGTTCGTCAATACCCCTGTCATTTCCAACAGTCTTGCCAAAATGATTGTTTCATGAATGTAATAATTTTTTCAACAAATGTCCCTGCTATTTGAATCTGTAATATCTTCAGAAGTATTCATTTGAATTACATGCTGTGGAGGGCCATATTGATCTATATCGAATGCAAAATATATTCCATGTACTCAATTGGATAAGAATTAATGCTGGGGTTTTGGGTTATCCCTGAGAGATAGACATATACCGATGCGGACTCTTTTGTAGACCTTAAAGTGTATGATACTGTAGTATATTTTTGATCTATCCCGTAGGGTTCTGCCAGCGTTTGCAAACTGAACGTGAAAAAATGTGTTTTCATTTACATCATATTAAAAACTTCTGAAATTATCAGTGTAGTTTCAAAGATCTAAGCATACGTAGGGACAGACAGCGGGAAACGACTTTGTTATACTATATAGTGATAAACTGTTGAACGAAGCCGTTACTAAGTAGTACAAATTGGAAGGGTATATTTTAAGGAGGAATTAATATTTAGCAAATAAAGGTTTTCGACTTCTATTTCTCCATCTTGATACGAAACATGTGGGAATCTCCCAAAAAAAGGAAGAAAGCAATCAGTTTCAAAAATCGATTCTATACAAATATCTGTAGGTCATGCAAAGTAACTTTCACGAACTGGAAGAAAAAGCCCTTTTAAAGATTTATTTTTATATAAACATCGAATTACACGAAAGAAAAACACGTTCGAAACAAATACTTTTATATGAATGCTGAATTATACGAAAAACACTTTTCTCTATTCCGTTTCTATTCCAAACTTCCGTGATGGGATCGAATCGGATATCATTTACAGGATTCCTACACAATATAATTCATGAAAGAAGTAAAATTTTACTTAAATGGTACACTGTCATCCTCACTGCTAGACATCCGATATTTCGCCGTAAGACACTTGCCTTATTCGCTCTTTAGTAGCAAATACGAATAACATTATAAGAAAATACACTCAATGAATTCATAAATACGACTTTTTGTCAGGAAATGTGTTGAATCCACACATGTGATCGATGACAGTACGTAAATAACATTCGTTCGCTTACTTGATTGAATCCCAGCCATAGGAATGTTGTTGAAATTGAAAGGGTATATTTTTTGGAGAGATTTTTTTGGGAAAGGTTATGGCCTTCTACTTCTCCATCTTGATACAAAATCACACGAGAAAAATACTTGCGAAACAAATATTGTTATATGAATTATTTCGTATAATTCACTTTTCTCTGTTCCGTTTGTATTCCAACCATTTGTGATGGGATCAAATCAGATACCATTCACAGAGAATTGAAACTTCTTATGCTTTTTATACTACTTGTATTTATAACGTTATAACGTTACTGTAATTTTGTCCCACAAGGACTTTTCTTAACGAATACAATACATTTTCAAACGAATACAATATTCGTTTGAAAATGTCGTTGTATAAGACGAAACTGCAGTAACGTTAGTTATAAATGTAAGTGTTATAAATCTAGTATCTAGATCTAGTATCTAGATCTAGTATCTAGATATTCTGTTATCACGCGAGAAGACAAATAATAAATCATTAGAATCAATCAAGCCATTTGGTTTTTTTTTTTTCTTGTACCTACGAAATTTGGTTATTCAAAATTTAACACTTGATTCTAATGAAACTGTAGGAGTACGAAAAATAGGTGAATATTATACATAGGTGGTTCAGAAGGTTCAGAATTTTTTTTCTAGAAGGCTTTAATGAAACAATTCATTTATATGATGATCTTCAAACAAGACTCAATCTCTGACGGAAGCAAGAAACTCTTTCGAAGGTTCGAAATAGATGAACTTTTCAATCTAGCAGACCACTATTATAATATTCATGCAGTAATTGTTCACTGTAGTTCTGGCGTTGATTTTGGTAATTATTACGCCTTGGTCAAAGACGAAACGGACTAGTTTAAGTTTGACGATAGTTTGACGATAGTTCGACACTTCGTGTCACGATTGTTCTGGCGATGAATTGAATCTATTGGAGCCTCTAGAGACACACTACATTTTGTTTTATGAGAGAGAGGACATTGTTAGATCAAGATCTTCAGATGATGTGGTGCTGCAGGTTTTTCCGGGTTTTCCTGGAGCTGAAAAAGCAAATGCGCCACTGGAATCAATGAAGTCGCCCCGGAGCGCCAATTAATTTTGATTGTTGTTTTTATTTTTATCGTTGTTTTATAAAATATTTAAATCATTTCAATAAAATCCTTTTCCACATATTCGATAATTTTTCTCAGTTTTATACCATCGCTTCATTAACAGAAAACATAAACATTTCACACCATTTTATGCCTTGAGACGCATCAAAAGAAATATCTCTCAGAAGTTAATTATTATCATGAATAAAACATATACTTGATATTCGTTCTCATTGGTATCAAATTATTTTATAAAATCTTGGTCGCAAGGTTATATAACCGGTCTGAAATTCATTTCAAACAGTATATCCATAAACGTGTGTCACGTACCTGGGAAACTCCCGGATTGAGGCTCAGCAATTGCCTCACTTCATCGTAGAAAGCTTTGGTCGCTTTTCCATTATCTTCGTCGAAGGGCAACCCCGAAACGAAGAGCACCAACAGCCCGAATACGGCAACGATTGAGGTGACCATGGCCGACTGAGATCGATAGCAGGAGTTCGTGAATAGCGTGGAATAACAGCGCATCGTGGCGGTAATCTCAGTAGGACGAATTGTGAATGCGCGATTTTTCCCTACCACTCTGAAGAGTTTCTGGAAATCTATAATACCTCAACAGTTTTTGTACTGACTGTGATTTTCAAGGTGTCCTTGAAATGATTCAAAATGGAATTAACAAGCTCATTCAATAGAAAGATTTCAGATCAATAGGGAATTTGTCCATCAGGTTCATATACATATGTCACATATCACTTCTTCCACGTATCAGAACTATAACACTATTCTCAACGCGAATGTCACTAACTAAATAAGCGTCATAATTATTTAATTCGAGATGCAAACAGATTGAAATCATAAAGTATCCTCCAAAAATTCACTGATTTTTTCCAAAGCTTTCGACAAAGTTAATCATGAGCTCTTGATTCATAAACTTTGTTTATATGGTGTTGATGGGCTAGTATTGAAGTGGCTCAGGAGCTATATTACGAAAAGCACGCAAACTGTCAGGGTTAATCATTACTATTCTCATGCAATCTGAGTTACATTAGGTGTTCCACAAGGATAATACTTGGGGCCGCTGCTTTCACAAAAGTGAAGTTTTCCTATTTGTTGACGATTCAAAATATTTTAAAATAATCAGAAGTGAGGCCGATACATTGATTTTCTGAATTGATATAGATTGCCTATCTAACTGTTTTACGCAAAACGGTATCTGTTTGAACGCATCCAAATGCTATATTCTTTGCCTTCATCGACCACACCACCCAATCACTTTCGAATATAGTATATATAAAATCTGACCTTACATTCTGCTTCTGGAAACAAAGATCTAGGTGTAATCCTCGACTCCACACGTAGCTATAAATCACATATTTCCGCTGTATTTCAGGAATCCATGGAGATGCTTGGCTTTATAAAGAGAACCACCTGTGATTTTAATGACATTACTGCTATTAAATCTCTGTATTTTTCCCTGATTAGATCTCATCTCGATTATTGTTTCACAGTTTGGTTCCCCCATTACGTTACACATAAAAAGTGAAACTTGAGGCTGTACAGCACAATTCCTTGAGATATATTGCCTTTAAGATGCACATATGATTATGTTGCATTGGGATGCATATTGAATATACCTTCTCTCGAGGCACGCAGAAAACATAGAGATCATTTCTTCTATTTAAAATTATCAACGGACTAAGTACCAGCCCCAAGCTCCTCTCCAAATTATTTCTACTTGTCTCCAGTCGTTCAACTAGGCAGTTGCAAAGCTTCTATGTTTCTTTTCTCATATTCAATTACTCATAGAACCAGCTTTACCCCATAACTCTTCGATTAACTAACTCCTTGAATAACCTTCAAATCTTCAATACATAACTTTCCTCTTTCAAAAATTGTATTCTTGACCTAGCTATTTAATATATTGAGCTTGGGCTGTTGTATTGTGTTGGGTGTTATTTGCCTGTAAGAATAAGATTAGTTCATATTGTTATATATATCTTGTGAATTTACTTATTGAAAGGACGTTTTAGCCTGGTCCTGATTGGCGGAGGTTTTGCCTTTTAGAAACGTATCGAAGTGTTTGAAATGATGACAATCGAGTTCCAAGAGATCTAGGAAACATGGTGTGTTTTCGTCATTGGAAAGTGCCTGGGTGGCTCATTGGTGTCCAACCACTATCATGAACATCTCCTGTTGTCGTAGAGGATCCAGTTTTCATCACACGTGACGATCCGATTCAAAATAGCAAAGAAAAACAGACTTCGAAACTTGACAACTTCTGTCGATCATTCAAATCGTGGGGCACCCACTTTTCGAGCTTATTTTGACCTTTCCAATGTGTTTTAAATCATCAAAAACCACATGGCAGCTGATGTCCAGTTCTACCGCCATCCCACGCTGTTTCAGCAGCGCTTTGGTTCAATTTGAATTCGAAGAGAAAAATTGGTCGAATTCACATGAATTTATGGATAACATTGAATGTGTAGAGTTGCAAGATCTAAAGATTTCGATATGATTTGATGTATCCTCGTTGTGTCTCTTTACCAAGAACTATTGAATATTTGAGGAATCTCCTGAAGATCAATGGTCTCAGTCGAGAAAAATCAAAGAACATACAAATAATAATAATCTGTATAGAACGGAATTATCACCAGTTCAACTATTTCTACAGACACTGTTCCCTTTTACACTTAATATGTTAATGAGCAGATTTGAATTGGAAGCAAAAAATAGGTCCGATATGGAAATGATATATTTGCTATTTTTGACACAAAAAATCTAAGGTTGTTTCAATTCTTCCGAACAGAACCCCAACATTGTTTAGATAACAACGAGAACATATCATTCTTGGATTGATGTGATCTGAAGCAACCAGGGTCTAGAATTTGACATCTACAGGATACAATCCCGATAGCTTATATTATGGTCCACAACACAAATTAGTAAAAAGCGATTCCTTATTTGCACCTGTCAAATTTTTTTTTATTCAGAGACTTGAAAAACATAAACCGAGGACATTTCTATAAAGATTTGGAAGCAATTCCATGGCAATCAATCTTTGAAATCGATAACATTGATGATGAAGTACAATTTTTCACAGAACAAATCTTACTTCTATTCGAAGTATATGCACCCATTAGAAAGAAAAAATTATAAATATTCTCCTTATATAACTGATAATATAAAATATATGCAACAACTAAGAGATAAGGCATTGAAAAAATTCAAATGCACTAAACAAGCCCATAACTGGAACTGCTACAAACAATTGAGGAATTATACTTCTTGACGCTTTAATTTAAAAATTGTTTATCAAAGGAAAAATGGAATGAACTTAAGAAACTAAACATCTGCAAAAATAAAAATAGGAAAATACCAAAGCATCTCAGCGACGTTAACCAACTGAATAATCATTTTACGAATATTTCGAAAAACATGTTGAAACCTAATGATTTCTATTCTGAAAACTTAAAAAATGGCATCAATAGCTGCTTCTTGTTCGAACACATTGACGAAACAACGGTATCGAATGTGATTTACAATATCAGCTCTGAAGCTTTTGGTACCGATCGAGTCAACATCACATTTTTACACTTCTCAAACAGTATATCCATAAACGTGTGTCACGTACCTGGGAAACTCCCGGATTGAGGCTCAGCAGTTGCCTCACTTCATCGTAGAAAGCTTTGGTCGCTTTTCCATTATCTTCGTCGAAGGGCAACCCCGAAACGAAGAGCACCAACAGCCCGAATACGGCAACGATTGAGGTGACCATGGCCGACTGAGATCGATAGCAGGAGTTCGTGAATAGCGTGGAATAACAGCGCATCGTGGCGGTAATCTCAGTAGGACGAATTGTGAATGCGCGATTTTTCCCTACCACTCTGAAGAGTTTCTGGAAATCTATAATACCTCAACAGTTTTTGTACTGACTGTGATTTTCAAGGTGTCCTTGAAATGATTCAAAATGGAATTAACAAGCTCATTCAATAGAAAGATTTCAGATCAATAGGGAATTTGTTCATCAGGTTCATATACATACATACAATTATATGTCACATATCACTTCTTGCACGTATCAGAACTATAACACTATTCTCAACGCGAATGTCACTAACTTCATAATCATAAAGTATCCTCCAAAAATTCCAGAAAATCGTGTACTGATTTTTTCCAAAGCTTTCGACAAAGTTATTCATGACCTCTTGATTCATAAACTTTGTTTATACGGTGTTGATGGGTTAGTATTGAAGTGGCTCAGGAGCTATATTGCGAAAAGCACGCAAACAGTCAGGGTTAATCATTACTATTCTCATGCAATCTAAGTTACATTAGGTGTTCCACAAAGATAATACTTGGGGACCACTGTTGTTTAACTTTTTCATTAACAATCTAATTCGCTGCTTTCACGAAAGTGAAGTTTTGCTATTTGCTGACGATTCAAAATATTTTAAAATAATCAAAAGTGAGGCCGATACATTGATTCTCTGAATTGATATAGATTGCCTATCTAACTGTTGTACGCAAAACGGTATCTGTTTGAATGCAGCCAAATGCTATATTCTTTGCCTTCATCGAACACACCACCCAATCACTTTCGAATATAGTATAAATAATCTGACCTTACATTCTGCTTCTGGAAACAAAGATCTAGGTGTAATCCTAGACTCCACACGTAGCTATAAATCACACATTTCCGCTGTATTTCAGGAATCCATGGAGATGCTTGCCTCTATAAAGAGGACCACCTGTGATTCTAATGACATTACTGCTATTAAATCTCTGTATTTTTCCCTGATTAGATCTCATCTCGATTATTGTTTCACAGTTTGGTTCCCCCATTACGTTATACATAAAAAGTGAAACTTGAGGCTGTACAGCACAATTTCTTGAGATATATTGCCTTTAAGATGCGTGTACACTATGATTGTGTGAATTTACGTATTGAATTTCTTTATATTATGCGTTCCAAGCATGGCATATCAATCGAATATTTCTGTTATACTAAAATTATTTATAATCCAAAAATCTTCGAAACTTCAAGATCAAGATATAATCTGTCGGGGAAGGTCAAATATATAGGAGTGATACTAGATCCCAGGCTGACATGGAACCAACATCTAAAAAGTGTTGAAAGAAAGACAAAGGTAGTTGCCAAACTGGCCAGACACCCCTATGGAAAGGCATGGCGATTCAAACCAGACGTATTGGCTCTACACCATGGTGATTATATCCATGATTACTTATGCATCTATGGTTTGGTAGTTGAAGACAAAATGAATGAACGCTATCAAAAAACTAAGCAGCAACGAAAAAAACTATTCCAACAGTTGAAGTTCAGACAATTGAACTTTTCTCATTCACATCTTGTAACAATGGGGGGAACAAGGGTGGACCAATTCAGACTAGATGGGTTCAAGTCAGACAGAAATGTTGGATTATGTAGAGGAACGAATATCAAACATGTTCTCGGT